AGTTTTACATTCAATTTAGAATCATTTGGCATGTTTTCGATAATTCTAAATATTTTTCTCTAAACTATTTAATTTATGTCAATTAGTGATTAATATTGAAAACAAAAATACAACAGAAAAATAATACTTACTCTTAATGCTGTTAAGAGGTTTTTGTTCATGTCCAAAGTATATATGTAATTGGGTATTTTTGAATGATGATGTTTTTCATGTTTCTTTTTTTTTTTTATATTTATGATGTTTGTTTTTTCATACATTCGTTTCTTCATTTGAAGTATCAGAATCAAGAAAAACTATATCATTAATAATTTCATTAGCTTCATAGTATGATTCATTATCGATAATTTCACTAGTTTTGAAGTATGATCAATGTGAATATTTGTTTGATAGATTATCATCATAGCTGAAACCCTTTTTGATGTTAGATAGACTGGTCACATCATAATCAGAACCTTTGGTATTTAATAGACCAGCCATATTATATTTAGAAGTTCTTTTATAATCTGGTTTAATACTCATATTAATAATATCTTCCTTTTGTTTAGTAATAGTTCATTTAGACGTAATTCTCACATCTTCCCTCGTTTAATAGATTCAATCATTTCTTTAAAGTAGTTAACTTATAAATTAATAACAGCTTATTCTAAAATAAAGGTGAAGTGTAGTTCTTTGTACTCATTATTCGTAAGCATTATATATTAACTAATATTTAATTCATCATCATACCTGATTTATCATCGACTTTTCTTCTTGATTCTTCTTCATATTTTTTTTCTGAATCGTCTTTACAAATGATATCTGATTCATCATAATTCCTCATTCTTGATAAATTTTCATGTCTTTTTTCTAAATCATTATCATGATTTCTTCTTGAATCACTACGATTAACATTTGGTTCATCTTGATACTTTCTTGATCTATTGTTATGATTTTTTCTATGTTTTTTTTGGATATTTTTCATATTGAGTCATTTCCAATGATGAAGACTTTAACGATTCTGATAAAGAACTATCATATATACAAGAAATATCAAAATATGTATTTAAATTATTTATAAATAAATATAATTGTAAATTAATTATTAATGATACCATTGAGAACGTGACCGGCCTCTTCTTCGTGAAAGAAATTGTTGACCTAAATATTTGTTTTGAGAATGATGTGTACATATTATAGTATATTAAAACATTAAGAACGCGTTTATTTAAAGTTGTATTTTATCAGGAAAAGAATGATGTAAATAAAAAAAATCTAAAGATTGTTCTTTTATATTCATCAGCAAATCAACTTAAATACAAATAGTTTATGATGAATTTATTTAATCAATGTAATATTAATTAAAGTAAAAATGTGTTATCGAACAATATAAAAATTTTATTTTAATCAATATAATACTTTAATTGATTGATATAAATGTTTATTGATTGATATACTATAACAATATCAATAAAATATCAAAAAATCAATATACTAATTAACACTAAATGTTATTTATTATGCAAATATATAAACTCTCTCTTAGATACATCCAACGAGAAATTCTAATACAAAGAAATTAACCATTTAAATGCTCAAATATATAATAAGGAGTTCTAATAAAAAATAAACTAAAAGGTATAAGCAGGAAAAATCAAAGATATCTAATTCTACAACTAGAAAACTGGTTGCTTGTTATTGTGATCAATGTAACAGTAAAGAAGTTGATTCAAGAATGAGAAAAAGACATAATAATCTCGAAGAACAGCTTGAAACCCATTCTTATACATCAAAACAAATTGCTAATAAAATGCATGAAGTTTCGAATATTTCTAGAAAAAACTCTAAACTAATTGTAGTCAATTCATTATCTTCCAGTTCAACAAGCTTATCTGACAATAATAAAGAAGTAAATTAGAAATTGAAGAAACAAGAACCTAGAAAAAGATATGATCAGTTTTAATATACAGATATTATTGACATAAATCAAGAAAAAGAACAAACCCGATCATCCAGTTCATTAAGTAAAAAATGGTTTCAATTAGTTGATGATAAATACCTACATGAAGAAGAAGAAGAATTAAGCAACAAGAATGATAGAAATCTTTTTGAACAATTTTTCGCTACTGATTTAAATGATATAGATATCAATTTGAATCCTGAATCTACTAGCTTTGACAATTTGTGGATTTTACTTTGAATCTTTAAATACTAAGAAAGGTTTCATCTTCCAGATATAGCAATAAATTCATTAATCCAGTTTTTCAGCTTGTTTTATTGGATGTTGATTTGAGACGATTTAAAAAATTTCCTTCATCAGCATATGTAGCAAAAAGATAAAAATATTTGCAGTATATCATAACTGCAATAAATTTATAAGATAAATAAAGAAAGAATTAATTAATTAAAAAAAAGGTAATGGTGTAACTAGGTAAAAATATTTAATATCAAAGATTAAATGATTAAAAACTTAATTTACTTTGCCTCCTTTAATTACTTTGATTTTTTTTTAATGTTATTGAAGAAAATGAATCTGAAAAAAAAAACAATAACGAAAATCAGATAAAAAATGTTCACAAAAAATTAAAAGTCGAAGGTTAAAGAATTTCATATTTTTATTAAAAAAAAAAATAATAAATAATGTGATGCTTTGAGTATTAAAATATTATGCAATGATCATTAAGCCGCAACTGATATATTTAACTAAAAATTAAATCAATTACCTAATTGATGAAGTCAAAGAAAACAATCATCAAGTAAAATGCTTAAAAGCCAAGAAAATATTAATCAATTACATAATTGATGATATA